GCCTCCGGGTGANGATGTGGATAGGAGAAGCCAACAATTTCCTGCGAGCCCTTCCATTTCCTCGCTGCTCTCTCTCCTCCCCCAATAATGTGAGGCCTGCGTGACGTTGCATGTCAGTGCCTCCGGGTGAGAGCTTCAGGCGTTTTCACCTGCTCCCTTGTCTGTGTTAAGAATTCCCCACCTCAGTCCCCGACTCCTAGATTTTGCTGAGATGGTTTAACTCTTCCAGGCTGTAATTAGAATTCCCCTTGCAGCACCTTTCCTATCCCAAACACACTTAACACTATGTTGCACGTTCGAAGACCATCTGACCCCCACGTGGGTGGGTGGTGCACAGATTGCAGGGTCCACTGAACACCACTGACTGTCTTCTTTCCGTCACCCTCTCTTTGGAGGGTGACATGTGTGTGTGGTCAGAGTTCTTTTCAGGTGTGTGTGATACGCTCTCTAACTCTTTGCGTAGCCACAGATATTTTCTTTCACTTGGGAGTGAATGGAGCTTGGCTGCTGGGAGGACTCTTGGGTTGCAGCCCTTGTCTCTCGGGCATCTGCAGATGTCTTCCCACGGTCTCCCAGGCCTCAGGGGTGCAGGTGAGAAGCCAATTTTTTTTTTCACATGAGAGTCACTTGTTCTTTCTGGCTGGAAGCTTTTAAGATTCTGTTTTTGACCTTGGGGTTTAGAAATTCTACCAGAATATGCCTAGGTGTGTATTTTGTTTATAAACCCTACCTAAGATTTGGGGAGGCCTTTCCTTCTACACATGCAGGCTTTTCTTTAGGGAAATGTTCTTTTTTGTTGTTTGTTTAATTATTGTCTCACCTACTTTTCAAATTCCTGTTAGTTGCCTATTGGGTCTTCTGGATCTGTCCTCTAAGTCGCCTAGGTTTTCCCTGTGATTTCTGTCTCTTTGTCATTTTGCTCTACGTTGTGAGACATTGCTTTCACAATTATGGAATTTTCACAAATTTCAAGATAATTTCAGGCCACTAATTTGAGTTCCAATAGTGACCTTGGCTGTCTTCATTCATTTACTGAATTTAAAAACCTGAGAATTATATTTTCAGTCTCCTGTCATTTTATACTTGACTCTCCTTGAGAACTTTAATTTTAAGTTGTCTGTTTCCTCCGGTGGCTCTGTTTCATTAAGGGGCTCTTCTGATGGGTGCATGTTCTTATCCTCTGATTGCCAGGCCCCCTTATGTGTGGTGTTGTTGTTATTTTTCTGTTTCTCTCAAAGGGCTCCCCTCTCCCCTCTCTGGAGCAGTGGTTATTGGAGTGGTGGAAGGGTGGTGGCCTCGGCTCCTGAGTTAGCCGTTCTCCTCGCCAGCCTCTTCTGGTGGCTCAGTCTCAGAGGTGGAGAAGGCTCGGCTCATCTATGTAGCTTCTCCTTATCTTCCAAATGTCTGATGGTTAGGCTTGCCCCAGGCTACACTCTGCAACTAGAGACAGAGATGTCTGCAAATGCAGATGGGGGCTCAGAAGATGGAGACCACTAGTGGGGACCCGTTTCTCCCTTGATTCCAACCATGGTGGTCTCTTTCCTGCCTCCCTGATCCACCAAGCTTACCTGTGCCTCAGGGCCTTTGCACTTGCTGCTGCCTCTGCCTGGAGGCTGTTTCCCCCAGATCGCCACATGGCTCCTTCCCTCTCTTCACTCAGGTCTCTCATCGCTTGTCACTCACTGACCACCCTATGTTGGCTCTTCATTCTTCCTCTTGGCTCCTGTCATAACATCCCAGAAGATCATATATTTTTATTTTTAGTCAAACCCCATAAGGGACAAGCACTTTGTATTTTTTTGACAACTGTGTATCCAGCATTGAAAGCTGTCCTTAGCACACAGTAGGCTCTTATTAAATATTTATTGAATGCCTAAGTGAGTGGGAACCCTTGGAGAGATGGAAGACGCTGGACTAGGAAAAGTCTGGTCCTGTTGCAGGTGGGCGGAGGAGGGTGGGGAGAGGCCCCTGCTCACAGCACACACTGGGAGGTCGGATCCATGCCTGATTTCATTAGCTAAGAATAAAAAGTCAAACAGGGACAGATGTGGCATTCTCAGGGCAGCATCTGCTGGCTGCAGAGCCACTGTGTGGGCGGGGCTGTGTTGGGGGCACGCCCACCGGCTACCCGGGTGCATCTTCCTGAGGAGGCCTTCTGTGGCCCTGGGAAGCTTGTTATGTATTTTCTGGGGTTTATATGACCTTCAGAGAGAACTTAACTGTTCGCCTCCTCAATGTGGCATAAGACCCCAGGACTTCTTGTTCTCAGGCCAGACTGGGCATGAGCAGGGCCACCAATTCCTGGGGTGGGGGTGGGGGAGTCCAGCACTCGGGGGTCTCTGAACACCTCCTCTGCCTCTGGCCCCCAGCATCTCCAGGGAGGAGCAGCAGGACTTCCCCTCCCTTCCCCCTCCCCCAGAAGCAAGTAAACAGTAAGCGCTGCATTTTCCAGTCCCTGGTTCCTTATGCCATTTTTTCCTCAATGTAGCTAAAGCCCTGGCTCTCCCTCAGGTCCAGTAGAGTGAAATAAACTAGAGATGGCAAAGGCGCTTTCCCGCTGCCCCCCGAGAAGGATGCTGCTGGGGCATCTCGGTTCCTTTGCAGTGGGGCTGCAGCCGTGCTGTGGGCCTGGCTTCATCGGGGCCCCTCCAAGCCCTTTGCACTCCAGGGCTGCGGGCCAAGCTCTTGTTTGGAAAGGCTGAAGTCACAGCTTTGTCCTCTTAACACAAAGCTGCTCTTTCTGCCCCTGCCAGGGCTCTGAAGTGGAAAAAACCCCACACATGTCTCAGACCCCAGAACGTTGTTTTTTTCCTCTGTGGTCTGGGAATTTAGTGGTGAAGCGACGGTGTCAATCAAAACTGAAATCACAAAGCTTTTGGGGTGCATTTGTGTCGATTGCTGGCTAATCTAAAAAAATGCTTTAAAGGAAAAAAATACCAAAAATGCTGTGTAAAGAACTTGAAGGATGAAATTCTCAAGGAACCTCTGAGCTGCTGTGAGACTGCCCCTGTCACTGGTGGGAGGCCCGGCCGAGGTGTGCTGCTCCGCCTGCGGCAACATGTGGCCCTTGCACGCTGTCCCTGTGACCCCCTGAGCTCTCCCTGTGCCCGAGAGTCTCTGGTCCCTCTCCATGCGTGTCCAAGTTGGTGCACTGCCCCTGGCGGGGCCTCTGGTAGCGGTGGCTCTTGCCCAGTTTGGAGTCATTCCCTTGCTGTGTGATGAGAGGACAGGGGTGGGTGCCAGCCTCGAGCGGTTGACCTGGGGTCTTTCTCTAAGCGCACGTGACTGTCCTCATTCCTTGTGGGGGGTGTTTCAGATGAAGGTTTCTTTCTCAGTGACTGCAGGCGTCTTACAAATCAAGGTGTCTTAGTGGTACAATGACTGGTGACTTTTTTTTTTTCTTTTTTATTGTGTTAAAATGCTCATAAAATAAGCAAAATTTACCGTCTTAACCTTTTTCCTGTATACAGTGGTATTAAATACATTCACATTGTGTGCAGCCGTCACCACCATCCATCCCCATAACTCTCTTCATTTTATAACCTGCAACTCTACCTATTAAACCCTATTCTCACCTCCCCCAGCCTCTGGTAATCACCTTTATACTTTCTGTCTCTCTGATTTTGACGACTCCAAGTACCTCAAAGTGGAATCATACAGTATTGGTCTTTTTGTGACTGACTGTTCAAGATCCCGTGAGATTCCATATGAATTTTAGGATGGGTTTGTCTATTTCTACAAAGGATTTCATTGGGATTTTGGTAGGGATTGCATTGAATCTGTAGGTTGCTTGGGGTAATNACTGTTCAAGATCCCGTGAGATCCCATATGAATTTTAGGATGGGTTTGTCTATTTCTACAAAGGATTTCATTGGGATTTTGGTAGGGATTGCATTGAATCTGTAGGTTGCTTGGGGTAATATTGACATTTTAACAATATTAAGTCTTCCAATCCGTGAACATGGGATGTGTTTCCATGTATTTGTGTCTTCTTTCTCTCAGCAGTGCTTTGCAGTTTTCATTGTACAAGTCTTTTGCCCCCCCCTTGGTTGAATTGATTCCTAAGTATTTTATTCTTTTTGATGCTATTGTAAATGGAATTGTTTTTGTAACTATATGTTTCTTAAGGAAAAAAAATACACAGCCTTGGTTTTATGTATGTTTCCTTTAGAAATGCTGAGATGTAGAAAAGAATTAAGAGGAAAATCAGTCATAGGTAGCACCCCCATCACCCGCTCTACACCTTGTCATTTTGGTGTTTATCCCTCCATCCTTGTTTGCATGGTTTCACATGCATGCATCATACATGTGCACAAACATCTGCACACATATATGAATACATATTTTCACCCGCTAGGTTCCACTATGTCTAGACTCATTCTCGCTAAACAGTATACATCAAAGACATCTTTCCAGTTATATACAGATGTTGCAAACACCCAGCGGAGGCATGTGTGGCAGCTCTGATCAAATCAAACACACAATCCTCTTTTTTTTTTTTTTTT